GCTTGAGCCCAGGAGTTTGAGGTTGCTGTGAGCTAGGCTGACGCCACGGCACTCACTCTAGCCAGGGCAACAAAGCGAGACTCTGTCTCAAAAAAAAAAAAAAGTATCCTTCAACACATTGTAAGTCTAATTACTGCTCATTTAATTTCTTGATTTATAACCATTAATAATTCTAGAAGATACCAGAAATTTCAAATATCCCAGAACCAGGTTCTAGTATTTTTCCTGAAAAACAAAATATTTTTGTTTTAAAAACTACTTGTAAGACATTTTATCCAATGAACTCTCTCTAAATATACTCTACCTAATTATGTAAGACCATTAAAGTTTACTGGTGTAAAATGCTTATGAAAGTTTAGTATTAGAATCTAATTTTATATGTTAAGTCATACTCATGTCAGGTAATTGTATGCAACAATTCTACAGAATAAACTCAAAAGTGTGGCAGACTCACCAAATATCCATGTGATACATTATATTTCTCAGACTCCCCTGCTGAAATGTGAGTAGAATTGATATTAATCACTTCTGGGCCAAGGTAATTAAAAGCAAGTATACCTTAATATTCCTCCATTCCTGGCACAAAAACCATGAAGGCAGAGCGTTTATAATGATCTAATTACAAGATGGAGGAATAAAGTAGATCTCTATGTACTGATCTAAACAAATCCATGATATATTTATAAGAGAAAAAGATAAAAGGTATATTGCATACATATATGTACAGCAGGTTCATGAAATTAAGTAAGATACACCTGAGTGTATCGCTTCTGTAAAAAACACAGGAAAAATTACAAATATGCATTTAAAACTTCATAGTTTAATTCTGAGATAAAAATGAGAGAGTGGAGAGGTAAACTTTCTATTATTACTTTAAATATTTTTAAAAAGTAGTGGGACTGGTGTTTACTGCAACATGCCAGATAAGATAATCCAAAAAACCCTTCTATCTAGAAACGTAGAGTAAAATATAACAAATATTTTCTTAGATTCATATCTGAGCTCTCAAGCAAAAAAAGGAAATTCACAGGCAGTCAAAACTAAGAGGAAACAAAAAGTGGTAAGCTGAGCAGTGATGTTTGGGCTTCAC